TTAAAATTATTACATTTATTTTGAAAATTTATATTATTTATTTTTTTCGATTTATAATTTATATTTTTGCTTCTTTTCGATATTTTGTTGTACATAATATCTTGTTGATTTATGCAAATTTTCACAAATTTTCGCATGTTTTCATATGTTTTTGATTTTTGTCGTTCGTAAATATTCATAATTTTACACATGTATTCACTAGTTTTTGACTATTTGCATTTTGCTATATTTAAATTTACTAAGCCGTAAATGTTCGTAATTATTACTTCTACGTAATACTTTGAAATTCTATAGCGTAAACTTTCGTAATTATTACCCCTACGTAATACTCCGAACTAATCGTAAGTTTTTCTTAAGTTTACACTCACGTAAAAACTTACGGAGGTTTACGTATATTTTTTTTTGCTGATATATACAAGTTTAATCAATGAATATCTGGTGTATACTGGGAGACAAGTTTCTTGTTATGTACCCGATAGTCTGCCATAGATCTGCCAAATAGCTGCTGAATAACAGTAGCATATTGGTCCAATATACTACTGTTATTTAGCAGTTATTTGACGAATCTATGGCAGACTATTGGGTACATAACAAGAAACTTGTCTCCCGGTATGCACCTGATATTCATTGATTCTACTCATATTAACTCTATCTCCGTATTGTCTCCAATACCACCTTTCCCCATTTCAGCATTAACTCTTCCCCTTTTCCCAACACCAACCTTTCCCTTTTCCCAACACCAACATCACCCTTTCCTAACCACTTCATCAACACACCAACTTTCCCAATATAATTATAACTAATATCTAATAAAAAATAATTAAAAAATAAATAAATTAATATGGTTATATTAAAAATCAATTTTTTTTAACATTAAAATTCAAAAATTTCTTCTGCTAATTAAATTTTAAGACCACATGTAATTTAACTCAATAAATTACATGTGATCTTAAAATTTTGATTGGCCAGCAAAATTTTGAATTTTTCAATTAAAGTTTCTTATTTAACTTTAAATATAATTAATTAAGTGATAATCTACATGTGATCGACAGTATTTTTATTAGAAATTCAGGGCAAATTATAGTAAATCAATTATAACTTTAAAGTAAGTCCCTGACAAGTATAAAAAGGCAAGTACTTAAAAGTTATTCAAAATTGATATAATATTTATATAACATGGTGAAAAAAGAGGTACTCTTTCAAATAAGCATAAAAAAATATGCTATTAATTTGTACGTTTTTAACTTTACTTTGAGGCAGCGACAGATTTCTCACTTCACGTATAGACAATTTATAAATTGCCGATTCTAAAAAACCCCTCAAAAAAAAACATATTTGTAATAGATCATTACAAAGGTTCAGAATTTTCTGTTTTATCTAAAGCCTGTAAGGCCATAGTCTCCTTCCAACGACATAAAATCTACTGATCCAATTTTGAATTGTAGCCTTTTTTGGAATCTCATCATTTTCAATTTCTCCAGCTTGCACACGACATATTAGCTCTTCTCTCATTTGTGATACTGTTAATTTTTGTGATGAGTTAGCAGTACCTGTATGAAACATAATCTCTAATAGTTTTTTAATGTGGGCAGTCATTCTTATTGTAGATTGGTGCTTGATTTTCTTTCGTTTTCTTTTAAAGCCCAACCACTAGTAAAAATGTTACTAAAAAAATCTAACTATATATAATTCACTGCTTATAAATCAAACACAAATTTGATCTAATTAGATAAGCTTATACTTTTTAACTTCACAAACATTATTAGTTTTCGTTGAAATTGTCAAATCTATAATTTCGGAGTACTAACAAAAAAAAAATTTTTTATTGATATATTCGTGATAATATTTAGGTTACATACGTATTCATTTTCATTATATGAAACTTCTGAAACTTGTGTGTATTGCAATTCATATGGGGAATCAATTATTTCTAATAAATATATTAGTAAATATTTGCAAAATATATAAAAATAAAGATCATTTGTTTTTTATTATACGGTAAGGAAAGAAATATTATTATTTTTATATATCAAATAATAAGTTCTCTCTTCTTACTATAAATTTTTGATATATAATAGCACGATTATACTTTGATTTTGAATAATTGGTATTGTTCAAGGTTTATGGGTTGAGTATAATTTGTTGAAGTAGGATTAGGATTTTCAGTTTTTTGTGATTTTGTAATATTATTTAGGTTAGCGAGAGACCATTCCTTCCAATCTTCTAATTCTGGTAATGCTCTTGCAGCAATAAATCCAATTTTTTCACCATTTGTAGGCCATGTCCATTCTTGAAGATTTGAAATTCCAGCAATAGTTTCTAATTTTTTTTTCTTTTTCTATTCTCAAATAAATTAGATGATCGTTCATTTCATCAAAAAATAGGGTTCTGCTAGCACTTGCAGAACAGAAACTCTAGTCAAGAAAATCAAATTATATTTTACTTACTATCTGGGCGATCTGGTATAATATTAGATACATGAGTACCTGTGATATTCTTTATTGCATTTTCAATATCGTTACCTGAATCAAGACTAAATCCTAATTTGACGTATTGTTTAATTGCTTGGGATATCTAGTATATAATCAAACTAATATTAAAAATTGTTTATTTTAAATCTAAATCTGGATATTACCTGTGCGTGGTGTGAATCAATTGAGGTTTTGGCTTCACCAGCCTCTAAAAATATCCATTTTCGCAAAACAATATTGTACCATTCTTTCTAGTATCCTAATATCAACATTAACTCCATGCAATGATAATGGGGACTATTATCAGATATAATGGTTACCCATTCAGGTTTATTATCCATTGTTTCAAATACGGTATATAGAGAAGATGTGGTAAACTATGCATCTTGTTTGTTATCGTCCAATCAATGATCATATACTTCCAAATTTAACTGATTTTTTGTAATATTTTTTGTATATACTAATACAAAATGCAAACTCCACCTATGTTTTCCATAAAAATCTTTCTTAGTTTCACATACGTTCTGAGGAAGTATTTTCATTTTAAAATCAACGATTATTACTGCACTATAGTTATTTAAATTATTAAAATTTACTTGAACATGTACATTTAGATAAGTTTTATGTGCTAAATGAGCTATCCAATTTATCAATTTGTTTTGATATTCTTCAATAGAATTATGTAAATCTAACTGTAATGCTTTTTTTAATTTATCAAATGTTTTGAAAAAACTTTTGCAACTTGAACAAATCATTGAATGTTGCTGATCACAATTGCCAAACGCATAACAAAGACAGTGGCCGATACATGGATTATGCATTGCAACTCCTAAACTAGTTATGTTGAGTTGTTTGGAAAATTCATAACGAATATAATGTCTTAATTCTTGCATCTCGGTTTGTAATTCTTTCTATTTATATGAGATTATTTATATTAAAATTTACACATATGTGATATTAATTCTTATTTTAACTATAATACCTGCAAATTAATATCTTCAATGTGAGCTTTAATTAAAACCTTAATATCGTTAAATACCTCATATCTGCATTCATTACATGTCGAGCACAATCCGCCTAAATTATCCTGATAAACAAACCGACTGCCTTGCAAGCAAGCCATAAAGGTTGTTTGACCCATACTATTAGGATATTGTTCATGAAAACGTTCCTATAATGCTTTTTTATGATTTTGTAAGTATATTATCCCTTAAATTGTTTTGCAGCCAAATTTGCTTGCAAACGTTTTTAAATTTTAAAATTTTTTAATAAAATTTTAAATATTGATTTTAGCTATATCTTTTCTAAGTAAAATATTTAA